TGTTTTTAAAACTTTGAGTTCCAAATTTTCTCCCTTCCTCCCTTCTCACCCACTGTTACTGAAAAGGCAAGCAACTTGATACAGGTTATACATGTGTAGTCATGCAAAACACTTCCATAGTAGTCATGTTGTGAAAAACTAAGTATATTTTCCTTCATCCTACCCCATCCCCATTTATTCTATTCTCTCTTTTGACCCTGTCCCTCCTCAGAAGTGTTTGCTTCTGATTACCTTCTCTCCCAATCTGCCCTCCCCTCTATGATCTCCCTGCTCTCTTGTCCCCTTTCCCACCTATTTTCCTGTAGGGTAAAATAGATTTCCATACCTAATTGAGTGTGTATGTTATTCCTTCCTTAAGGCAAATCCTATGAGAATAAGATTCACTCATTCCCTCTCACCTTCCCTGTTTCCCCTCCACTGTAAAGCTTTTCTTGTCTGTTTGTGAGATAATTTACCCCATTCTACCTTTTCCTTTCTCCTTCTCCTAGTATAATCCTTTCTTACCTCTTAATTTTATTCTCCAGATATCACCCCTTCATCTTCAACTCACCCTGTGCCCTCTATCTATCTATCTATCTATATATACATACATATGATTTTTTTCCCTCCAATTACTCTAATACTGACGAAGGTCTCATGAATTACAAATATCATCTTTCCATGAAGTATGTAAAGAGTTCAACCTTAATAAGTCTCTTATGATTTCTCTTTCCTGTTTACCTCTTCATGTTTCACTTGAGTCTTGTATTTGAGAGTCAAATTTTCTATTCAGCTCTGGTCTTTTCATCAGGAATGCTTGAAAGTCCTCAATTTTCACTGAATGACCATTTTTTCCCCTGAAGGATTATACTCAGTTTTGCTGGGTAGGTGATTCTTCGTTGTAATCCTATCTCCTTTGCCCTCTGGAATATTATATTCCATGCCCTGGTCCTTAATGTAGAAGCTAAATCTTGTGTTATCCTGATTGTGTTTCCACAATACTTGAATTGTTTCTTTCTGGCTTGTAATATTTTCTCCTTGACCTGGGAACTCTGGAATTTGGCTATAATATTCCTAGGAATTTTCCTTTGGGGATCTCTTTCAGGAGATGACCAGTAGATTCTTCCCATTTCTATTTTGCCTCTGGTTCTAAATATCAGGGCAGTTTTCCTTGATAATTTCTTGAAAGATGATGTCTAGGCTCTTTTTTTGATATGGCTTTCATGTAGTCCAATAATTTTTAAATTCTCTCTCAGGTCTATTTTGCAGGTCAGTTGTTTTTCCAATGAGATACTTCACATTGTTTTCTATTTTTTCATTCTTTTGAATTTGTTTTACAGTGTCTTGACTTCTCATAAAGTCACTAGCTTCCAATTTCTCTATCCTAATTTTTATGGAAGTATTTTCTTCAGTAAGCTTTTGGACTTCTTTTTCCATTTGTCCAATTTTGCTTTTTAGGGCATTGTTTACCTCATTGGCTTTTTGGACCTCTTTTGCTATTTGGGTTAGGCTATTTTTTAAGGTGTTATTTTCTTCAGTGTTTTTTTGGGTCTCCTTTGGCAAGCTGTTGATTTGTTTTTCATGATTTTATTGATTCATTCTCATTTCTCTTCCCAGTTTTTCCTCTACTTCTCTTACTTGCTTCTCAAAATCCTTTTTGAGCTCTTCCATGGCCTGGGACCAATTCACATTTTTCTTGGAGGCTTTGGATGTAGGAGCTTTGATTTTGTTGTCTTCTTCTGGTTGTACGTTTTGATCTTCTTTGTCACCAAAGTAAGATACTATGGTCTGATTCTTTTTGCGCTGCTTATTCATGATCTAAGCCAATTACTTAAGTTTTAAACTCTTTGTTAAGGTAGAGGTCTACTTCTAGTGTGGAGAATGCACTGTCCCAAGCTTCGGGGGTTTTGTGCAGCTGTTTTCAGAGATACTTCTAGGGACCTGCAAATTTTCAGTTCTTCCAAGGTTCTATGATTAAGGTCGAGGTGTTTACTCCTTTCCTGGCCTGTGCTCTGGTCTGTGAGTGACCATAAGCACTCTTTTCTGCCTTGGAACTGTGAGGAGGATTTTCTCTGTACTGCCACTACAAGCTCCACCACACCAGTGCTCCTCTTAGCCTCAGGACTGTGACCCAGATCCAAATATGGGCAAAGCAAGAGAATCCTGCACCAGCAGAGAGATCCCTGCAATTTCACTCTGATAAGCCATTTGATTCCCCCTCAGTCTGTGGGCCAGAAGCTCTGAAGGCAGCTGCCACCCTGGGCCAAGCTCAGGAACAGGGGCTGGAACCACACTCCTTTCTCTCACTTCAGACACAGACTTTTCCCGCTGACCTTCTAAGTTATCTTTGGTGTTTGTGAGTTGAGAGGTCTGGAAACCATCACAGCCACCCACAATTCAGTCCTCTGAGGCCTGCTCCAGGTTTGCTGAGGCCTGCCTTGCCTACATGCCCATGCTGTACTGTGTTCCTCACCCCACTAGGAGTGATAAACCTTTCTGATCAACCCTCCAGTCTGTCTCGGGCTGTAAATTTGTTTCATTCTGTCTTTTTGTGAGTTCTGCTGCTTTAGAATTTGTTTAGAGCCATTTTTTATAGGTATTTGGAGGGGTTTGGGGGAGAGCTCAAGCAAGTCACTCCACCCAGGAATAGTGTAAGTCTTAAAGGAAGAGAGATTACAGAGTGAGAAGAGCATAGGGAGAGCTTGGCAGTGGCAATTGGAGTATACTAACTCCTCTGTCATGACTAATGTAGTCAAGATGGTGTAAATAAAAGTATAACTAGTACTGGGAAGGGTCATTAGAAATACATTGTCATCAGGAGGAATCCAGGTCTTAGCGACAGAAGATGGCAGCTAGGAGGTATAATAAATTGATACAATGCTGGACCTGGAGTCAGAAGATGTGAGTTCAAATTTGGCTTCAGGAACTAGCTGTGTGACACTGGACAAATAATTTAATTTCTGACTGTCTCAATTTTCTCACTTGTAAAATGCTGATAATAATTACACCTACTTTCCAAAGTTGTTGAGAAGATAAATTTAGATAATATTTATAAAACATTTTGGAAACACCAAAATGTTTACTATTAAAATGAATTATTATTATCAATTATTAGTTTGAGAAAATAAAAAATGTAAGATGAAGGTAAGTTCATTAACTATAGAGCAGGTATTCTAGAGAGGATGGTAGAAAGGGCTGGTAGATCTGCAGTGGGATATTTGGGGACTAGGGTCAAGAGGAATAGAAAGGACTAGGCATTTGGGGATGGAAAATTGGGATTGCACTTCAGAAGGGGGAATATCAGAATCACTGGGACAAAGAGAGTATGAAAGGCTTGGAGGATTTGTGCCCGGGCAATGTATGTGTATAGGGAGAGAATTCTGATGAGGGAAGCAGATGATCAGAGTATTCTAATCTAACCTCCTGGCAGGTGGTGATGTTATGTCTTAGGAGTCGCCTCAGGAACACTAGCAGGAATAGGCAGAGGTATGACTAGAGAATCTGGCAGGAGGTCTAGTCTGAGGATGCAGAAGACCCTGAATTGTAGAGACCAAGGGTGGGTAGCTTGCTCTGAAGCAAAAAGGCCAAGGTGGCTCAGTTACAGGGCTCTCTTAAGGTTCCTTGGGAAGGTACTGTGGGTTGAGAGACTTTTGCCCTGGATCAAGATAGGTTGTAACCTCTCTTCCTAACAAGTTGTAATAATGAAGTTCTAATATTTTGAATTATTAGAACAAGTTCTAATAATGAAAAAGTTATCTCTAGGTGGCAATCTTATCGAGGAACTTCTCTCTATTGTGTAAGTAAGCATTCTTGTGGAAGTTACTTGTCCAATAACCTTAAGGTATAGGATTGGCTTCTACATTCACTGCTATGTTTTATAACTGCTGAACAACATTGATTTAAAGGAAAACAATACAGTGCTGTGATTTTGTTTAAAACTTGAATAGACAGTTATTAAACACCTACTCTATGCAAAGGACTATTCTTGGCACTGGAAATGTAAAGACAAAAAGCAAAAACAAAAACCAAATTAAACTAAAATAGTCCTTAATCTCAAAGAATTTATATTACACTGGGCTGGTGATGGGGTTAAAACATGTATAAAATGAAATAAATACAAAGTACATATGTAGAAATATTTTCAAGAGGAAGAAGTGCACTAATAATTGAAATTATCAGGAGAAGCCTTATGTGGAAACTGACACATGAGCTGTGCTTTGAAGGAAGCTTATAATTCTAGATTTTGTGAGGGGGAGGCAGCAGGGGGTGCATTCTAGACACAATGGGCAATTTGTACTAAGGCACTGCAGTGAGAGATGTAATATTATATTGAAGGAACAGAAAGTAAGCCACTTTGACTAGATGGGAAAGTGCCTAAAGGGTAGTAATGTGAAGTGAATCTGAATGGTAGGTGGGAGCCAGACTGTGAAGGGCTTTAAATGCCAGGATAAGATTTTAGTATTTTATTCTTGAAAATATAGAGAATATATTTAATATTTGTTTTATATTCATTATAAACTCATTTTCACAATAGAAATATACACACATACGTATTTATGGTTTTGTTAACATTTATTATTTAGGCATTTTAAAGTATAGTCTGAGGATTAGTATTAAAATAATAAATTTTTTTCTGGGAATCATTTATTCTGAAACCTAGCTATTCAAATACCTAATCATTCAAATATTTCTTTGAGATAACAGTGTAAGTGTATGAATAGAATACTGGGCTTCCAGGAACAAAATCCTCAGCAGGTTTCAGAATGGTTCTTTATCACTTTAGTTCCTTTGCTAATGTTTGTCAATATTAATCACAAAAAGGCCTCTTGGAAATGGTCCCTGTATTCATTTCCAGAGCTGCAAACCTAGATTACTTTCACTCAGTCAGATTCAAAGGGACATCCAAAACAATTTGCTAGGGAATCTTTAGAAATAGGAGGATTTTTTTTTTTTTTGGTTTGGTCGTTGACATCTGCCATTGTCATCCTCTGTATTTTTTTTTCTTCATCACCTGCATGTAGGGCAATGCAAGACAGCTAGTCATTTAAACACTGTAAGTGAAGACTGATGCCACTGCAAACCATGTTTGATGTTCATATATGGTTTCCTGGCGTGCTGCATTCAGACCCATCTGTTAGGATGGCATGGTGCCGACATGCAAGGTAGTATGCCAGTTTCTTTGGGGGTAATAATGCCAATTAAGAGTGGTTTTTAGTGGGCAGGCTGCCTGATGTTACAAGTACTGTCTCATTGCAGAAGCCTCTCTTTTGTCATTGGATTGCCACATTGTCGTTATGAGCCTCCTTAAACACTCTCACTGATTTTGTGAGGACAGAATACCTGAACATGAGAAAGAGACACAGACATTAACAGGCACAGGAGGCAGCTACATAAATTTTAAAAAGGAGATTAAGAACAGTGCACGTTGAATGGGCACATTCAGAAAGAAAAAAAAATGACCATGCAATCAAACCCATTTTAGGAAGACAATAAAATCATTTTGTTTTATACTACATCATTTATCCTTTTTTTCCCTATTATCTTGGGATGCTCTTTGCAGATGTAGCAATCACAAACACATAAACGATATGGTGTGGGGAAAGCATATCAATTTAAGGTTCAGGGGACAATCAGTAATTTAAATCATTATAGCCACAACATTGACCGGATAAAAATATAATATACCAAGGACAACATTCATAGGTCAAAGCAGTCAGTTAATAATCCTTCTATGTTCCAGGCATACTGCTAAGTGCTAAGGAAATACAAAAAAGTTCAATAGACAACCTCTGCTCTCAAGGAGTTAACATTTGAATGGGAGAGACAACACACAAACATATACGTATATGATTAATTGGAGATAACCACAGAATAAAGAAACTAGCATTAAGGGAGTTCAGGAAAGGATTCTTATCGAAGGTGAAATTTTATCTGGGACTTATAGATGTCAGGAAAGCTAGGAGTCAGATATGAAGAGAGATTGGATTCTAGGCATGATGGACTGCCTGTGAAAATGTCCCGAGTCAGGAGATGGGGTGCCTTGTGCCAGAATCAGCAAGGATACCAGTGTTTCTGGATCATAAAATACACAAGGATGAGAAAATTGTAAGAAGAATGGAAAGATAGGAGGAGGCAAGTTAAAAGCCAAATAGGATTTTATATTTGATCCTAGAGGTGATAGAGTGTCACTGGAGTTAACGGAATAGTGGGAGGTGATGTGGTCAGATGAGTTTTAGGAAGATCAATTTTACAGCTGAGTAAAGGATGAACTGAAGTGGGGAGAGACTTGAGGCAAGGATATCAATCAGCATGCTATTGCAACAGTTCAGGCATGATGTGATAAAGGTTTACACCAGGGTGGTAGCAGTGTCAGAGAAACAAAGGGGAAATATATGAGATATTACAAAGGTAGAATCAACAGGCCTTGGCAAAAGTTTGGTTGTGGGGGTGAGAGAGAGTGAGGAGTCAAGGATGAAACCTAGGTTTTGAGCCTGGGTTAGAGGAAAGGTAGGTGGTTTATTTTTTTGTTTGTTTTTTCAGGGAAATATTGTGAGTTCTATTTTGGACAGATTGAATTTAAGATTTCCATGAGACATCCAGTTCTAAATGTCTAAGAAGCAATTGGGGAAATGAGCCTGGAGGTCAGGAAAGGTTAGGGCTAGATAAGTAGATTTGAGAATCATGAGCATGGAGATGATAATTGAATCTACAGGAGTGGATGAGATCACCAAGTGAAATAATATAAAGGGAGAAGAAAAGAAGTCCCAGTGCAGAACCCTTGGACATACATGCCACTAGTAAGCATAACTTCAATGGATATTCAGCAAAGAAGACTTAGATGGAGCAGTCAGACAGGTTGGGTAAAAACTGTGATAGGGTAGTGTCACAGAAACCTAGAAAGAAGACAATGATTGATGTTTTAAAAGACTACAGAAAAGTCAAGAAAAATGAAGATTGGAAAAAGGCCATTAGATATATGGGATGATAGCTACTAGGTAAAGATAGCTTAAATAAGATTTTTTTGAGAAAAGGGGAGACAAGAGCATGTTTGTAGGCAGTAGGAAAAGAGATAATTAAATATGGAGTGATTGAATATAAATGAGAGTGGCAGATTACAGAGAGGGCCATCTGCTGGAGAATAAAGTGAGATTACTTGAGCCAGCTGAGGGTTTTCTTGGGCAAGGAGAAGGTTCATTTCTTCCTGTGAGAAGAGTGAAGGGGAAAATAGTGGGTAAAAGTATCTGAGTGATGTGAGATCAGGAGGAAGGGAGAAGAGGAAGCTCAAATGGCCTTAATTTTTTTCCAGTGAAATATGTAAAGTGATATTCAGCTGAGAGGAAAGGAATATAGGAAGTTTTGAATGATTTGAGGAAGGATGAAAAGATTTGGAAAAACCTCTGTGGTGAGTGGAATTAGGGAGGTATAAAAGTATTATCCTGCTGCAGTGAGGGTCCAGTTGAGATTATGTAACATGAATTTCTAGTAGATCCAGTCAGTGTAGTTTCATAATTTTCTCTGGCTTCATTCAGCAGCATGTGAATAGAAGCAGATAGTGGGAGTGATCCGAGGCTCAGGCACGGCAGAGCAAGATCAGTGATATAATAAGGGAGCAAAGAATCCCTTACCAAGGATTGTCAAGAGAAGAGGACAGTGTAGAGTTGAAATGGTTCACTAACAGGTCAAGATGGGAAAGGGAAGAGTATAGCTAGTACAGGGATGATGGTCTGTAAATAACTGAAGGGTCAAGGAACTGGAGGTCACAGTGAGAGCACTGAACAGGGTTTAGGACTCTAAGGCAGAGTGAGTAGTGGGGTGGCAACCGATTATGATCACATAAGGGAATTTCAAAGTTCATCAACATGGAAATGACATAGTAGTAGGTGATGATAAGTTTAAATGTATGACCATCTCTGTGTTTAGCTGAGGGAGGGTGGGGTGGGGAATAGGTCATTGGGAAAAGAGCAAATTGAGGAATTGGGAAGTTAGGTTGTTTGAAGGAACATCAATATGTATGTTGAATTGCATTAACATGAAGACAGGAGATGGGAAAGAGCAAAATACCGGAAGATAAGTGGAGAACTCATTGAGAAAAATGGGGGAGTGTCTTGGGGTTTGATAGATAATAGCTATGATAATTTTGATGAAGTAGTAAAGATAGATTAAGATCAGAGGGGAGGTTACTGAATGATAGTGGTAGTTGGTGAACTCAGAAGTTATGGTGGGGAACAGGGTTTTTTCCAACTCTCCACTTTGACCAGTGAATGGGTCAGTGGATGAGTAAAAGTGCAGTCTGTGCTGGAAAGTTTGGCTATATAGTCTGTGTCATCAGGAAAAAAGTCAGGTCCCCATGAATGAAAGAAGACAGAAAAAATGGGAAAGGAAAAGATGAAAAGAGGTTATTATCTATGGAGCAAACATTCCAAAGTGGACAGTGGAAGCAATGGGTAAGGTTAGAGTGAGATACTGGTAGTGTTGAGGAGGATGGGAATAAGGGACAGAGTGGGGGAGACAGGGGCTTGAATAATGATAGGTAGGGGCAAGGGGTAGTTCCAAAATCACTGAGATAGGCAGGGTATAACAAAGTGAGAATTTGTCAGTGGGAATTATGTTGATCATTGATGAATGAGTTCAAGTAGGTTATCAACCACCCTAGAGTTTGGCTTCAGCATGGAGTCATATCAAGGTGTTAGGCAGCTCAGGTGAGGGGACCAGTAGTGAGAGCTGATAGAACAGCATTTCTCTTCTTCCCCTTAGGGCAGAAAAATCTGTCAGTCAGTAAGTGTTTATTAAGTATTAACGAATCACTGTGCTGGATGCTAGGAATATAAATAAAAGCAAAAAAGGAAGATACTTCCTACCTTAAAAGAGTTTAGTGTCTAGTGGGGGAAAATAACACATGAAAAAGCTAAAGAAAGAGTAGGATACAGGTACTTGGAGTAGAGTGGGGAAGTAGTAGGGAAGTCTGGAATACAGCCCAGTGAGAAATGAAGACTGGCTGGGCTTGACACCATTCTTTGGAAGTGCTGAGACCACAGTGCCTGACACATAGTAGGTACTATAGAAATGCAATGATGATGATGATGATGATGATGATGATAATGACCACAACAACTACCCCAATCTGCCTTTACTGTTGAAGTTCAAGGAAGTTTTCTCCAGGGGGAAGTAGTCATGACTATAACCCAGCTCTCTCTCTCGAGGTGCTAAAAGTAGTTATGGCATTAAAGGTATACTTTGCCATAAATTTTACTGTAATTTCTGAGCCCCACAAACATGCTTCCTATTTACAAAAAATCAGTTACAATGAAACCCTTGACTTAAACAGACCTCCAAATCAGTGATCCACCTAACCAGGTTGAGAAACCTCATATCCACCATTTCATTAGATATAAGACAAATAATACACAATTTCTCCAGAGTCCTCAAATAGTTCTTTGATTTGTATTTTCTTAGCTAGATCCTTCAAAACCATGAAAACAGTCATATGTAAATGAGCTAGTAGACATAGATGTACTGCAGCCATCTTCACCTCAATCAGTGCTCTTGTCATTAAACTGTTTTCAAACACATCCAGCATATTTATCTGTTTTTTCAGAGATCCTCAGAATGGTCTAAAGATGCTTTTCACATACAAATATCCTTTCTCTGTCTCTTTCATCAACTAAAACATCCACATATGAAATGTATTTTACATAAGGAAGAACATTTAAATAAAATATAAATAGATAACTGAAGATTACCAAATAAGTATATTTAGGAATTGCACAGTAGGATAAAGCATGAAAGCTGTGTGATCTGTAATGCAAAAGCAACTCCCTACATTGATAAAATCATGAGTCATGAAAGCATTAAAGTCATATTGTGCACAGCATAAATTTCAGTCTGTTTAGATCCATAATTTTTCTACACAATGTAAATTCAAGGAACATAATCTCAAAATTATTCATCTTGTAGTCAATACCACTTTCTTATGTTCATTTTTCAATAGTTAATTGTATCATTCATGCTACTGTTCCATAATAATAAGACATTCCTACTGAAGTGACTTTAAAAAGCTTTAACATTAAGAAGGAACTCCAACTAAAGAGGAACTGTGGTACCATGAAGTCAGATATCCTGGGTTCAAATCCTACTTCTTGGGCCAACTGCATATATGACCTTA